CATGAGAATAAACAAAGAAATACATCTCTTAAAATATTAGTTTTTATTCATAAAAAATTATTAAGAGATTGGTAGGATATGCAACTACAAGACAAGACGAAGAATTCAAACAAGACTCAAACATCAAACCCAAAGGAAAAAAGTGAGAAAACTAATTCAACAGAATACTATAATATCACGTTATTAACCTGTAAGGAATATGGCGATTAGTTGTGGAGTCCCTATATCGTTTTGCAAGCCCAAAATCAATTATGTAAACCTGACACGTAAGTACACCGTGAATACTTTTAAGTTGAAGCTAACAAATAACTGAAGCAGTGACAGTGCAAGTCAACTCCACATGAAGGAAAACCACAACATGATAGTCACCTGGTTTGCCTTACGACCAAGTCCCATGAGAAAGTTGTCAGGTTTTATATCCCTGTGTAGGAATCCTTTAGAATGCACATATTCAATTCGAGTCATCTGCAAAAAATTAAAAAAGAAAAGAAAATTCAAAATCAAATGCACACTTCAGTCATCTAGAATCATGACACAAAAATATTTACAACACAGAGCAAATGACGGCAAAAATTTTCCCACGAGACTAAATAACAGAACGAGGCTGAGAAAGCACGGTTTGCTATCCTTTGAGCTGAACCCATGGACAATTTGCAGACAACATGGTAACCCATATGCCCAACAATAATAATTTAAAGGAGATGGCCGGTTACCATTTGATCAGCTAACATCAACACTGTTTTGAGGGAGAACTTTCTTCCACAGTAAACAAAAAGATCCTCAAGACTAGGTCCCAGCAAATCCATAACCAGCACATTATCCTCTCCGTCTACACCACACCATTTTATGCTCGGAATGCCACCTGGATGAAAAAAAAAAAAAATCAAAATTTTCAAACATGCCCAACTTCCTTACAGTAAAACCCTCCACCTCACACACATGCACAACACTAACAATAAAATTAAGCGAAATTGCTTAAAGCAATCAAGAATAAGAAAAGGCATACTTCCTCCTTGAAGAATATTGTAGAGCTTGGCCTCGTAAAGCAATTGCGGATGCTTCGTTTTACTGTTCTCCTGCAACACCGAACCAATAAAAATAAATAAAAATCGAAGGTAAACCTCAAGCACGAAATAACGAATCAAAGAACAAGCGAACTGAGCTGAAACTGCAGCAATTTAAATTAAAGAAAGGGCAGGAGTAGAAAGCAGCTTACAATCTTGACCGCAACGATTTCAAAGGTATCAATATGAGTCGCTGCGGAATTGAATTGAATCGCAATCAATACACAATAACATTCACATCATCAACAACAATTATAGCAATAATAATTAGGAAATGAGATTCCTGAGGAAAAATTGAGGGAGAGAGAGACCGAGGTAGATTTCGCCAAAGGATCCGCTTCCGATCTTGCGACCTAGCTTGTACTTGGAGCCGATGACGCGCTCCATGATCTTAACCCTATCAATCTGCTGCTACAACAATGCAAACTCGCTTCGATCTCCGAGCAACAACACCCAAACGAAACCACTGGTAGAGAACAGAACAAACAAATACGCACTACAGGGTATTTTTGTCTTTTCACGTCTTTATCCCATTTCCTTCTCACTTCCATCAATGATTTAAAAACTGGATGGAACCAATTGATTTAAAGGTTTAATGGTTTTGGTAATCAAATAATTATAATAATTAAATAATATTAAAAATATAAAATAGTAAAATTTAAATAAAACTTAGATTTATATTTTTATATTTTCTAATCTTTAAAATATATGTAAAATTATAATAAAATATTTTATCGTAATTATAATATGTTTTTATAGTTAGAATATACTTTTTTAATTCCTCGTTTATGAAATTGGAATTATAAACGTTTCTACAAATGAGAACATTGCAATATTTTTATAGATTAAAAGTATATTTAATTATAAAATTAATTTAATTAAAAATTATTAATAGTATAAAGTTTATAATATATAATTTAATCAAGTATGATAAAATTATGTATTTTTACATTAATTAGTTTTAAATATGGAATTTTTTATAATTAATGGATTATCCACCTATGTGTACTAATGTGGTGTTTAGGGGTGTCAAAGTGAGTCAACCCAGCTCACACGAGGTTGAGTTGAAAATAAGTGAGTTCAATTCGTAGCACTTCTTAATGAGCCAGAAATTTTAAAACCTGACTCAACCTACCACGGGTTGGTGGGTTGATTCACTAACCCATATTTTTAAAATTTTTTAAATTATATAGAAACTTCGAATGTAGAAAATTATACTTTCTTTCTCAATATCAATATCTTCGTTGTTAACCGAAATTAACTCATTGAGTTTTTCATTAATAATAAAATCATCACTAATACAATTTACATTGACACTTTGATGTATTGTTTCATTACATACTATAAATTAATTTAAAAGAAAAAAAGTCAAAAATTCATATATTAAAGAGATATACATATAAATCGATAACAAACAACAAATAATGTATAGATGCTACCATTTTCAAATAAAGATTCATCAATCCAATAGTTTAGGTTATGAAACAAATTCTTACCTTTAAAAGCAATATAGTGGATATGATGTAGTGGTGTGGTGGACAAATAATAAGACAAGTGACTCAAGTGCAGTAACAAACGTAGTCGTGCAGCGAATAACTGATAACAAGTTTAAGTGAGGGTTTGACTTGTGGCGACAACCAACAATGTAAGGTAAAGGTAAGACAATATAACATCAATTAGGGTTACTAAAGTATTATAATTATTTTTAGAATTTAAAATAAATGATTAATTAAGGTTAATATATTATTATAATTATTTTTAAAATTTAAAATTAATGGTAAGTTGTTGACCAACCCACATAACCTGACTTGAACCCATGATGAGTTGGGTTGACTTGCAGTTAGAAGACACTTGTTAAAGTTATCTGGTACAACAAATATAAAAGTAAGTTTTGAAGTTAAAAGCTTAGTTTAATTTTGTTATACAATTAATGTTTTACATTGTTATTTAATTATAAAACAATTAAAATAATTATGGTAAAACTTAATAGTTTTAATCATAAAGAAATCCAATATTAAATGATAATGTAAAAAATACATTAGGAGAGAGAAAAAAATATTTTTTCTTTAAATATAAGGATAATAAAAATATTTTCTTTTATAAGGATAATACAATGTGGATATAAAATGACATAATAAAAATAAGAGATTAGAAAAACTATTATTAGCATAATTTTCATTCGAAAAATTGTTCTTGTTTTTTGTTTTTCTTTTCCTTAATAAAATTGACATATTTTTGAAATGATTTTTCTAGTCATGGAACAAAACTCCAACATCGTGAATTAGTTCTAGAAATCAGAACAAGAACTACTATTGGCACGAGGTGTGAATGTGTCATGTTTTGCAGTGCAGGCCAAGGTTTCGTGTTTGCATGTTGTTTTATAGGGTGGGTTGTTCTGATTCTGAGTTATTGCTTGTTGGAAGCCTTTGACACAACATCATCATAGCTGGATATTATTATACTATTACAATGAAAGTGCATTAATATGAGCATATTTACTAGTTAATAAATATATCAAGAGCTTAAATCCACTTTTAATAAAAAAATTAGGTTTAAATTCACTTTTTTAATCCTTATAATTTGATCAATATGTAATTTTATTTCTTATAAAAATTTAACTATATATATATATATATATATATATATATATATATATTGTTTCAATTTTCTTTATTTGAGTCAATTATTCATTATTAACATTTTAATTAATTATTAGATAACACATAACACTAAATTAAAATTGTTAATTTTGAAAAATGGAAGAACTAAGTGTGCAACTACTTTTTTTATAGAAAATATATTACGCATTCATTGAATTATGAAGACTAAAAATGAAATTAAGAGAAAAGAAAAAATAATATAATAAACTTTTAGGTTTGTTTTTTATCGATAAATATTATTTCTTAATAATTTAGTTTTTATTTGTAAGGAGATTTGGATTTAGGATCTATTATTTTCAATTTTTAATATGAAATCAATTTTATATCTGCCTAATAGGCTTCTGTAAATTCGTGTTTGGATGGATATTGTGGACACAACACAAGTGTCTTATTTCTTGTATTGAAATCTCGTATTATTGAACAAGTTAATGAAATTGGTTTCAGAAAATATTAGTATAATTATTTTTCTCTAATAAATTCTATTTTTTTTGTTATTTTTAATTATAAAAGATTTTTTCTTTTCCGTTTTTTATTCTTTTTCAGATTAATAAATTATTAATAAAAATAGATGAATTCTATCCGTATACGAATACAAACAGTAAAAGAAAATTCACAAGAAATTGAACTTAAAATTGTTTAAAATTCATGGCGTCAAGGGCACAAGTTATGCTACAACATGCCGTGCATGTTTGGTAAGCAACATCGCTTCTAAGTCTTTGTCTTATTTTTTGTACATAGTTGAAAAGTAACGTGGGTGATGTCGAAACAAACACATGGTGTTTCAGGGTTAACGTGGGATGAAAACGTGCTTCAATACTCAAAATTTATCAGTATGTATGTTCGAAACTAGCACTCCTTTGGCTTGAATTAATATATATAAGTAAAATCACTAGGAACAATAAAATTTTCATCTAAACAATAGTCTTCATTTACTTTATTTGAGATAATATTGGTGGCCAACTATAAGTCCAATCAACATGGAAGAAAAAAAAGAAACTTATTTGGATTACAACAATAAAAATGAAATTATAGATATTAAAACACAAAACACAATATATGGTAAATTCATTAGAAAAGTAAAAAACTAGAGGATATATCAATGTAATGTAAAGGGACTTGTATTTAAGGGGATTCAATAAGAAATGTGAGCAACGTTTAAGAAAATATAATTTATAATCCAATATTTTTAAAATTTTGAGTTGAAAATAGTGTGAATTTATTGTGTGGGTTGTACTGATGTCGCAGTCCAATAAATCTTTGCATATCTTCGTGGTGTTTAAAATTGTGACTTGAAACATTCAGGAGGCATTTGTCCATTGAATCTTTTGGTGTCTTTGCAATAATCATAAATCATGTAATTGTTTCTGACCCAATTCAGTTGACCTAGTTGGGCATAACTCAACTGTTTGTATGTGGGAGAAGTCCACCAATTAGCAGGGATATTCAAGGAGCATTGGTTGATGCTCATTGCTCCATTCCAAGGGCATGCTCTTGCTCTAAAATGGTTTAATTTAGCTATGAATGGTGCATCACTCCAATTCGTTTTCACAATTCCACCTCTGGTAGCCCAATCATCTGCATTCCATAGGCTTGTATAAACTCTCATTCCTTGCTTGTTTGGAAAACCAATACCCTCATTTTCATAGTTACGGTACACCCTAATTGGTATACTATCAATGTACCACCTGAGGTTACAAAGGGTTACAAATCAACAACATAATATTCTTTCTTAATAAAAATGAATAATTGACTTAGTGTTGTGAGAGTTTAAACGGTTTATTAACTTACACAACTTCAATTGGGTTCCAGTGAATGGTGTAGTTGTGAAAATCAGTTGTTGGGTCAAACCAGAGGTAGAACTGTTGCTCTCTGCTTCCATTTCCTTGTGTATAGATGTTTGTGTGGACAATATATGGTTGTCCTGAAATATTTCCTAAAAACTCAAAATCTATCTCATCATGTTGGCTTCCTGTAGAGGATAACTGCACAAATTTTATGTATAAAGTAAGAACTCAACAATTTTGATGAAGTTAATTGATTTGAAATTCTACTGATAAGTGTTTCATTATTAGTATTATTAAACTTACATAATAAGCAGTAACTGTTCCCGCAGAATTACCAGGAACTAACTTGATTAATGATTCAATACTTCCGAATAAGAATGATTTTTTTGTTTGAGCTGCAGATCCTGAAATTTGAATGAAACATGCTTAATATTCATTTAAAAGAAATATTCGGTTGCAGCACTAAAAGATGCAACATGCTTACAATTAATAAATCATAAATGCAAATGTTATCTATTACCTTAAAAAATTTGCATTCTGAGATAATCTAAATTGGAAGAAGAAGCATGATTTTTTCACCTGAGGTTTGATCCAACACAAGTTGGAGATCTTCACCCTGCATCAATGCATGTTGAGAACCCCAAGTGATATACATGCTTTTGGAAAAATTGGCATCTACAAGTACTATGCTAGATGCCACGGCAGAGAGAAACAAAACCACCAACAATTTTTGAAAATTTGCCATGTTAACACACATGAACAATTTCTACCTCTGTTTGATGTTCTCTAAATTGGAAGCTCCAATGCATTATCTTCTGGTTCTTGATGCTTTATATAGAACAAGCAATGCCACATTCTCTGAAATATTTAAATTAATTCAGTACTAGTAGTGATTGACATTCCTTATGATTTTTATTTTTTTAAATTATTTTTTTTAAGAGAGAGTCAACACAAAAAAATAATATTAATAAAATACTAATTATAGTTTTTTTAAGCTAAGTTAAGAACTTGAAACCATGACCAGACTTAGCTAGCTGGAACGCGGAGAAAGAGTGGAATGTCGTGCCTAAGAGTAGTGATCACCATTGTTGAGTGATCACCAAGGTCGTGCACACCTGATCCAAGATATTTTTTAAGATTAAGAATATTTTTTTTTCCCTTTCATTCTACCTGGTGAAGTTGCTACTTATAGCTTGTTCTTTTCTGGAAGGTTAAACTAGAAATTATTTTCTGTTTCACAGGATGAGTTTCCCTAAAAAGATAAGAACCCTAAATTCCAAATTGGTTTATGGTTTTCTAATTTGATAAAACCGTGCTCTGATTTCATAAGATTGAATCATCTGATTTGGTTCTCTTATTTGAAATTAGATAGAAAATGTATATATATCTTTGTAAAACATCACGGTGTTTGATGAAGACGAAACAGTAAAACTTAATTTGACCAAGTCTTCTACAATAGATAACATTCAACCCCATATCAGACTAAAACAATGTGTAAAATCTCTTATATTCATGTTGATATGATAAAAAAAAATTGCTAAATTTTTTCTATGCCCAAAAATTGGATCCATATTTTCTAAAATTAGTTAATGAAGGCTAAGAATCATATTTCTTAAACAAAAATTTTGAAAATACATTTTAGACCCTAATAATTTATTAACATGAGTTTAAACTGAATTGTTTTATTTTAATATAGAAATTTTAGGATCACAATAATAGACAATAATGAAACAGTAATCAATTATTGAATTATAATGAATGAGAGAATCATTATCTAAAATGAGAAAAAACTATATAAATAATGAATATAATATATATATATATATATATATATATATATATATATATACACACGTGTGTGTAAAATAGACAGTGATATAATTTTGTATATCACTTCCTTTATTAAATAAGTTTATAAATTATTTAAATTTATAATTTAATTAAAATGAGTAGGAAAAATGGTAAAATTTATTGAATGAAAGATGGAAGGAAATATTAGATTATGATTAGAAATTGAACTATGTATTTCTTAATTTTTAATAGAAAAATAATTCATTTTTTTATTTTTTATTAATATTTTTTTATTCATCTATTTTCTTTAGTCTTCTTATGTTATTACACTAAATGACTAAGTATAACGAGGTAAGTTTTAAAAATTTATGCTTCGAAATAAATCACTTGAAATTAAAAAAGAAAATCTTATTAAAATTACCTTTTAATTAAATATAGTTCAAAAATACAATAAATATAAAAGTAATCTAAACTTTCAATTCGATTTTTAAAAATATACATTGTAGAATAAAATTTACCTAGTGTAGTAAAAAGTTCGATTAGAATCTTAAATTCTTATTATGACCATTGTAAAAAGAGATTTTGTAAGACGAATAATTTTAAAGAATCAATTGATTTTGCACATTAAATTTTTATAATGTCTCTTTACATAATAGCTATGTTGAAGAATTGAAAAACTAGTTATGGTGCTTGAACTAAAATACTTTAACCTTTACATGACTAAATAAGGGTGCGATAATAGCATCACTTTCTTTCCTCCATTTTTTGTACTTAAAAAAAATGAGGGTTTCCAAGAGATAAAAAAAAAAAAAAAAAACTACAATTAAAAACTCCATGTGTGGCCTGAAACTGAGCTAGAACCCTACTGAATATGCACCCACATGCCCTGGCTAGGCACCCCACGGTTGACAATGAAGATCAAGTAATGTCCTGGAGGAGCAAGTTCAGGAACCGGTGGTGCTTTGGACATAACCTTGTAAATCCCTTCAGAGTTTTGAACAATGATAATTTTAAGATACAACAACCTCTGATTCATGGAGTAGCCATGAGTAGTGAAAGGTGGATATACTACATTATGACCTTAATATCTTGCTTGGTGAACTTCTGATCCATATTTTGCAATTTGAACTGTGTCTCAAAGTTGTGTCCATACGCCAACTTCTTATCAGAAGATTCCTCAACAATGGTTGGTCGATGTACATCTGGGTTTGGGTCCAAGTAAGGAGGAGAGAATGCCTCAACCCTAGTCTCAGTTGGGAACTTATCATCGTCCTTGTAAGTATCATGGGTGTTGCTACCAGCAACCCAAATTTTGCCATTGGGAATAGCTTGAGTGGTACATTCTAGCTATTTGGGTGGGCTGCAACTCCCTAAACCTTTCACCCTTAGGGCTTTGTGGCAAATACAAAAGGGGTGTGAAATTAGGATCTTCAGCATCCCACCATGCATGCAGATGTGCCTTTCTGTGCACCATTAAGGAGTAAGAGTTGTCCATTAGGGAGATTAAGAAGATCCCCCATCACTCTTCCGGTAGGCATCTCTTCAGTATCCCATTCAGGGTTGGGGTCTGTGATGACCAATCTACCACAATCTTTGAGAGCTGGTAGGAAAATTTTCTCAGTCTCAGCCAAGTTGAAACTATCATGAGTGTTGCCACCACATACCATGACCTCGATCTTGATCTTGGAACTGTTTTGTTCATTGGTATCAAGTCTTACGTTACGGGGAGCATTGCAGACATGCCAGAAGCAGAGTAGTTCCTCGAACCTCCAGGAAGAACTGGGTAGGTACGAACCACTTTGTTGGCATTAGGGTTGAGGAGGAGGGAACGGTTATTGGCGAAGATAAAGAGATTGCCATCACTCGAGAGGTGGACAAAAGGGTAGAGATTGTTCTCATCAATGTCTGTGGTCTCATAGAGGAATGCTAAAAAGTAGGGTTTTTTACTAGGTTGCCCCTCCCTCGGAAAGAACTCATAGCTAAAAGCTCTGCGACCTCCTATCACTATGTACTCTCCATTGGGAAGAATAGTCTGAGTTGCATACCTACCATACAAGAGTCCAACAAAACATGATAATGCATGTTTTTTGCAGGAAAGTTGAAAAACTCTAACTCTTCGGAATATGCTTCTAATTTTTATTGAAATCTACAAAATAAAGAGGGAAAGTCATTATGTGAGACATGTCTCAAATTTTATAATTTAATAAATTTCAACTAAAGATAAAAAATGTATTCCTAACATGTCTCTTATTTCCTATCACATCATAATTATTATAAAAAAAGTATTTTCTTTTCTCTCAAAATATCATTTAGGTATTAATTAGTGCATACCATCTTGCCTCCTGCAATTTATTGGGGTATTCCCTCCAATCACAAGCTTTGCAATTCTTCTGACCACCATAATATCTAGCAGTTTTTACTCCATCTCCGAAACCACCAGCAACCACTAGGGTACCATCAGGCGTAAGTCCACCACAGGAACACCATGGATCTGTCTTCACCTGAAGCATATAATCTCTTCACATTCTGTAGCCTTTCATGAAAAAGTGTCGTTGAGAAAAAAGGATTCACCATATAAATTTTATGAAACAGAAATATGTTAATATGATGCATCATATGTGAAATAAACAACACTAGGCTAATGGAGGTTAACAGTGGTAATGGTTAATATTTGATTTTAATGTGAGAAAGAGAAGAACTATGGATGGTACGAACCGTGAGTGCTCTAACTTGATTTGTTGCAAGAGTGTATTCCATTCCATGAGCAAAACAATCTTGTTTGTTTTCTTTAAGGTTTTCATCATAGAATGGAACACAAGGCATCCCTTCGGGGTATTTGAGTCTAGAGAGACGATAAATGGTGGTATCATAGACATTGATGGTGTTATCAGGCATCAATTGAATCTGCATGGCAGAAACACCAGACTGGTTGTTAAGAATCTCCCATTGCCCTATGAACTTTGTTTCATAATCGGACTTCTTACCACCACCATCCTGAGCGGCACTCTGATCAATCCCTGTCGTAGGGAAAGGTTTTATGAACTTTGGAATTCCAGGAATCTTGTGGAAAACCTTGCTCGATTTCAATTTGGATTTTTTGTTTTTGCCTTTGTCTTTGATTTTGGAATCCACAACAAGGAACAAGACAGTGAGAAACAAAACAAGTTTGAAGAAATGTGTCATTATTGGATCAAGGTGTGTTAGAATATTTTATCAGAAACCTCAAAGAGCTACTAGGGATGATGGACCAGACCCGGCATATACTTTGAGGAGATCTTCGTCTACTTTCTGTTCTATGCATGTGACCTTCTATGATCATTGGTTTTTCAAGCATTTCCATAAAAAGAAAAAAATTGTTAGCCATTGGAGACATAGCCTTGTAATAATAGGCAAGTAGCACTTTTCTCTTTATGGAATGAAGACAATTCTCATCTTCTTTCCAACAATTGATTCCACTTTTAGATAATCGTGGTGAATATATCATTAATATATATTTCAATAACAAAGTGCTTTAAGACTCTGACTATAAAATTAAAATAGAAGTTATGAAATTTGTATTAATTAATAATACAATATTCCAACCAACTCCACATGAAGTGGGGTTGCAACAGATATTAAGATTTTAAGGTTTTAGATTAAAATAATATTATATTCTTTTATATAATGAATACTAATCGAACACTAAATATATTATTTCTTAATTAAACACTAAAATAATTTTAACCCTGTCATTAAATTAATTAATTTTTATTTATCAATAAATCTGATTTTCCACCACATAACTAATGGGGATTAACTTTCACATCTGAGAAAACAAAAATGTGACCTTGTTGAGAACTTTAATTTGAAAGCAAACATGAAGATGGAATTAAATAGTAGTTTTTGGTGATGAAGCAAATGTTACCAACCGCCATCACATCTTTCTAATCAAGTTTCCAATATTTTTCCCTTTTAAAAAAAGAGGTGCCTTTTCTTTAGGGACAGGTGTGTCTGTCACACTGATTCTGTCTTTGTTCAATATATGCTTTTAATTAGTTTATACCAATAAAATTATAATTAATTATCAACTACTGGAATAATTTATGATTTTATTTTTATTAAATCACTATATTGTTGCTATTACTTCTTCTTATTCTGTGTATGCGTATGTTTCATCAATTAGTGCTTAATATTTTTGAGCTAATGTTAGTAGTAAAAATTACATTGTAGTAAAAGAAAATTTATTATAATATAAATATATATTATATTAATGAAGTAAAAGTCTATAATCTTTTGTAATAGGAGAATCATAGTGGAAGATCCATTCTCCCATTGAAATGCCCTAATCAAAGACTAAATATCAAAACAATTTTATGTGCAAATTAAATAAGTTAAGTGTATTAAGTGAACTATTTAATATACATCATAATGTATATAAAAACTCAACATTGATATTAAATACTGGTATATTTTATCTTTTTGAAAGGGGTGATATATGAATACCATTAACTTTTTTTAAAACCTAATATAGCATAAAGTGAGGAAAAATAGTTAAAGATAGAAAGAATGGATTCTCTTCTTTTCAATGAACATGACAGTACAAGATGGAGACAAGGAGATTAAAAAAAATATGAATAAAAGGGGGAAAGATGAAGATAGAATGTGATTATGGTGTGAGAGTGTTGGTCTCATGCTTTTCTTTGCGGGTAAAAACAGAAAAGAAGAAACAAGAGGATGAAAACGCACAATCCCTCTCTTATCTTTAAAAACAGTGTTCAATTCATAGCCTCACTGTTTTCATTAATTATTATTTCTATCGATATTTGTGTGAAATTTAATCATTTTTTATTGCATGTCGATTGTTTATTTTATCACGTTGCATACCAAAGGCTTTGAGTTTGTTTGAACTGTGATCTAATATAATGTTCAATATTTAAAGAATGAATTTTATTGCTATAAATTTTTTAAATAAAAATACTTGCAGTTTGTATCCAGTTTTGTGCTTTAAAGTGTAAAGGAAGTTGGAAAAGTTGAAATGGAGTGGTCAAATTGAATGCGTGATTAATTAACCAATGAGAATGGATAGAAAGGAAAAGCAGTCAAAAAAAATCAAATCATTATAAAAAGAACAGTTTTTAACAAAACTATTTAATATAATTATAATCAAATTAATATAAAAAAATAGTGAAAAATTTATAATTTAGAACAAATTTTTATATATAATATAAATAGAATAATTTTACATAATATTTTTCTCAATCATATTTATTTTTTTCTATTTATTTTTTATTCTTTGTTACATCTTCAACCGCTGTTATAATACTACTGTATCATTAACTTTAATCATCATATAGTGTTCTTCTAATATCATATTTTTTTAATGAGTCTTTATTATACGTTCGTCATAATCTTAATTCTAAATCTTAAACCCTAAATTCTCATCTTAATTGTGTCCTCTATCCTTTTTTGTATTTATATCATATCCTTTATTATGTTCTTTTCGTGTTCTCATATTCTTCATCTTATCCTCACGTCGTCCGTTATGTCTCTATTGCTTTATCTGTTGAGTCTTTATAACTGTGATCGCGTTGTACTCCCTCATTTTCCTCTCCATTCTATTGTTTAATTGTTGTAATTGTTTTTAAAATATTTTATTGTGAACTATTAAAAATTTAAAATTATATTTTATTTGTAATTGATTTATAATTATCTGAAAATATTTTATATTTGTCTAATAATATTTATATTTATTTTTAGATATTTTTTTACAGATGAAAAATCACGTACCAACAAGATTTTAAAAAATAAAAATTAATTTTTAATATTAATATTTTGAAAAATAAAAATTTTAAAATTATATAAAAATAGATTTTAATACATTCCAATAAAAAAAATCTCTTTTTTAACATCTTAAGAGCATTAATTATATAAATCATGAACCACAAACAACATTATAAATCCAACTTTAACATTGTTAAAAATATAAGTGAATATAATATTATATATATATATATATATATATATATATATATATATATATATTTACAATACAGAAATTTTTTGTTTCTATATGAATTATAAATAAAAAATATTAAAATTTTCTTTTATTTAATAAAATTACATTATTAGTTATTATTAATTTTATTATTTTAGTTATGAATTTTTACCAACAGATAGTATATCTTGTTGGTGACTTATCTTTAAGTTTGTGAATTCTTAAATTTAAAGTCTTCTTACAGAAATTTCAATCAAAGTGTCTTTTGTTACTATAAATAACAGAATAAATAAGGCTCATCAATAAAATACTTATGATTAAAAGGTGTTTTTCTAGAGAAAAATTATATCAATGGAGAAAAGATTCAAGAAAAAATAAATTAAACACAAGTTGAAGTTGTATAAATAAAAAGAAAATTTATAAATGAACTAAAACTTGAGTTGAAAATTATATTATATTTTCATTATGAGTTATTTGAAAATATCCTAATAAAATATTAGAGTTGAAGTGGATACTAATTTTGTTATAATAATGATTTAACATGTAATGGATGCTGAAATAAAAGCCATAAATGGTAGTAAAAGAAAATGACATTACTTTTAGTGTCACATGACTAACTGTTTATAAAGTTGGTGCTAATTTGTTCCTATGCAATGCTTGTCGGCCCCAATGATCATAAATATATATTCTGTCAAATGGAATACATTTTTTCTAAAATTACATATATCATTAAACTAATTAATTAATTAAGTTGACTTTGTTGATTTTTCTAATTTTTTTTACTATTATTGTTACATAAAAATACACATAAACATAATATTTAATAAAACCAAATACAAAAGGAAACATATAATATTACATAGAAATTATAAATATCTTATAGAAAGGATTGTTCATCTCTATAAAATATTGTCTTATAAAATATTTTAACATTTTTTGTTTTTATATTATAATATAAAAATATAAATTAAATTTTTTAAAACATACAAAGTATAATACGAATAAATATAAAGAAATAATAATAAAAAGCTATCACAAGAAGAGTGGTAGCAAATACATTATATTCTCTTGCATACTTCTTTTATAAATTGAAGCTACAAAATTGCAAAAAATATTATATTTTTTCACATACACATTAATATTTATTTTCTTATATTACAATGCTCATATTTTCGGTCTAATCAATTATGATGATTCATAATCAATTTTCTGATACAAATTTATCTACATTATTATTAATAATTTAGTGTAAGCTTGTCTAATGTTTATTTTTTTCATAATAAAATAACATTATTTTCATAATTGTGTTTACATTGTGTTTTTTTTTTTAATGGAGATGAAGAGTAATTCTTAGAAGTATTGCAAACATACATTTTTATTTTGAAATATGATGAGATATTTTGTTGAACGCCTCATCTTGTTTGTGTAAAATTTTCCTTCATATTTATATTCCTGTTTATTAATTTCTTTATTTTATGAGTTCAAATCCTAACAAATATTAATTTATTTAATTTTAATCTTATTTTCCGTTTAAAAAAATATTTACTATATTTACTCTAAATTAAATTGTTTTTAAATTTTATTATATTTTCTTTAATCTAAAATATTTTTATTTATATTTAATAAAAACACGTTTTCAAGGAATTAAATACTTAACTGAATGTTACAGGTGGAGTGTATTTGAAATTTCAAAAAATAAAATAAAATTGTCATTCCATCTTTCTTTTTTTTTCATTTTTAACACTTCCTAAAGTGATATATTCCCACAACAAAGCTGCATGTGCAGATTAAAGAAAACTTTCTCCAAAGTGAAGACTTTAGGAATTGGACTTCAGTTAAATTCGTCTGCACTTTCATTGAATCTGATGATGGCCAGATTTTGGTTTATATATATATTTCCTTTAGTTATCTTTTCAAAAGTATATATCTGATGTGAACTTAAGATTCTTTGAAAATTATGTGCAAGATATGCCTAGAATCAAAATGGAGTTAGCACTAATAATCAATTGGAAGATATAGCCTTTATGATTATTCATGCTTCCTCTAATAGCATCCACTTGTAGTGATCTCTATTAACTATTTTGTCTGCATTATTCTTTTCTCTGATTGACATTAATACAGCTGTTTTTCCATCATTTGCCTCTAGAAGTTGGTTCATTGATAGGTAGCTTTAACACTCTGGACATATATTACATGGTTACGAAAATGTTGTAAAAGTAAACTACTTTAAGATGCATTGACATGTTCATCTCTAGCTATAAACAAGATAAACAGTGTTCAAACATTTAGCTTTCTCATGGTACATGGCTGTTACAGATGAGGCTAGTTCTAGATGATCATTTAACTACCAAGGTTAATTTTATAGAATCCAATAACTTTGTTTTGAATGTCTGGGTCAAATTGTGTCAAGAAAAGGGGTCTCATAAGAGACACTTCAAGCTGCCTATAATTGAAGTCACGAACTGGCAGATCAAGAAAGTAACTGGAATTAGAAACTTTTGAACTGTGCATGTACCAAAACCTTCAACCTAACCGTTGATTATAACTTTCTGTATGCACGCGTCATATAAAGACTTTTCTTGCCTGAGATGTGTTTTCTATTTTCATTGCCTTTCACACGTGACAAACAGATTTCTCATGGCTGCTGGAATTCTGTGGAGCAGACTTTTGATGTGAGATGAATGAGAATCTTTGACAGAAATTTAATGGCAAAGAATTATATTATATATTATCTGCACTTGGCTATTCGTAAACAGTATCGATATTCATAACATCAGTTCATAAAAGAAGTTCATTATTCAACCAAATTGACGTATCCTTTGAATCTCCCTTGACAAACACACAATTATTCCATTTGCTGTACAATACACATTTCATTTTTCAATTTTGTTGGATGGGATATTTTGGTATAGTTATGAGTGTTACGTGACTTCAAAATTAAAATTAAACATAGTTTATGCACATTTTTCTTTCTTGACCCATTGAAACATTTACGTATCAGAATTTAAACCAGACAATATCGTAAGTATATCAGACGAAATGCATTAAAGACACTTCTTCTTATGAACAGTGCTTAAATTTTCTTCTCCTAAACAAGAAAATAGGTGGCTCTGGAGAATACAATTTCATCACTCAATTATTACACACATTTGCTAATTGCTGAAGATAGACATAATTTTCTGAGGAGTAGTGATTAGCATTACTAAGTCAATAAAATATAGTTCCAGATTCTATATGTTCGAAAGAATAAAATCATGCTTAGAATCACTTTTAGTGATTAGAGAGCTGAGCTAGAATAGTATAATAGTTTTCTGAAGGTATTAGATTAGATTAGCTATAGTTTAGTTTTTAATTTTTAGTTTTCCTGTCACTTTAAGTGGAAAATATTTTGATTTGATTAAATTTGTATCCATTTTTACGTTGTTCTTCTTATGCACTCCTTGCACCTCATAAGCTTCTGAAAGTGCATACCTTCAATTATACCAAAGTTCGCATGAAATCGCGATTTACTCCTTCATAAACCACCACACTTAGTTTTACAGTAATTTGCTAATATTTTAATCTTGGTAAAGGTCTTAATATGCAACTCACTCACAAGGAGCTTTCAGGTGGTAACTAAATTTGAGTTTAATTAGAGACTATGGGATTTCTCAATGATAAAAGTTAAATTTTAGTATTTTAAGTGAAGTTTAACTCGAGGATATGGTTAGATACAATTCCTTATAAATACTTTCAAAATTTTGAAATATGAACATAAAATAAAATTAGATTTTTATAACATAAAACTAATCATATAAAAATGAGTTTATATAAATTCTTTCGTATTGGATTTTTCAAAAGTTTGATTTTAATTTATTCACAAACTAATTTTAGTTTACAAGGATTTATTTGACATTTTTTTTTATATTTGTTCTTCTTTTACAAGTATTTTTAAAACAAAAAAGATCCCAACGTACCAAAGAAAAACTCACAACAACATGTGCTTGTTAGTGTGACAAAATTGATGTATATGAATCTGAGCATATCATTAAGTGGTTAATTTTGATTTGATGCTACAGTATGATGTTCTTACAGATAAAAATGAAACAAAAATAATTTTGGATGACCTTCTGTAACGTGCATCCAATTATTGGTTGAAGAAAAGAAAATGAAGAGAATATTTCTCAGTTCGTATGATCTTTTCATGATCAATCCCTTCCTAGCTTTCAGTAGCATCTGTCACATGGATGGAGCCATGCATATCTTATCTATTAACAAAGACAGATTTTTGAATTCATGAAAGAATCTGAATGCTAACTAACAGAAATCAATCTAATGAATAAGTAAGAGCTAGAGATCATAAAAATAGATTCTCTTTAGTTTCTTTACTGATTTACGTTAAAAGAGAAGGTTGCATTGCTTTTATGTAAAGAGTAGTAGTAGTAGTCAATCTATATCTTCCATGACACAAGAGTATGATCCCCAATGAAACTTTAAAACAAACACATTGGCTTGTTCATGTGCTTTTGCAATTCATAATTGTAAATAAAAGCATTACAATTACTAGAATTGCCACTCTCTCCAGTGGCAGATCAAAGAGATAGTCTTAGCTCCAAATCTGGTTCTTGAGTGTCACTTGATTCAGAGTTCTGACTGCTTGCACCCAAGGAACCACTTCTACGCTTCTTGGTATCTATGTGTTGTGAGTCCTATGTAGTTATAGAAAGCAACAAAATGAAGGTCATTTTGAATTTATAGATGGATTATTTATTGGGTGCTATATGTTTTATGCTTAGAATATATCAAATGAGATATACAATTTGAAAAGGATTCCTTACATATAGGTTAAGTAAAGGTCTAGTTTGAGCAGTGGAATTGGCATTCTCCCATCTGGTTTTCAACAACGAATTTAGCATATATATCAGCCTAGAAATTCTTCATGACAAATAATAAAAGAAAAGAACAAAAATCCAACAAGTATAAACACATTTGCTCTTTATCATATTAACGAAAAAGGATCTAATATAGGGCTGAAAGGTTTAAACTACCTTGCAGTATTAGCTGCCTGAGAATCTCCATATCTAATGTTTGTTCTTTCATATTCGGGTAGGGACATCTGCACAAGAAAACAGTGTTTGTCCAATTTCAAGATCCATCATCCAAACTCACTCGTTCAATATATATGTAGTTGTGTTACTACACTCACATGGACATGTTATGAAGCAGAAGAATTATTACTTGTACGTTTTTGCAACATTAGATGTGAAAGTAATCAACAAGACAACGATGATTTGAATGGCATTTTTGGCTCTTTTGATAACTCAGCTACTTTTCAATCAGCAGAACACCCCATCCAACCCTAATTCGCACTACCCTTGCACTTTCAAAATCGACCCAACAAATATATAGGAGAAAGTTAATTCAGATTCAAAGAGAAGATTGCTAGGGTTATGGTGTATATATAAAATTTTCAATAATAAGAAAGATAAGTATCATGTCAATCGAAAAAAAAAAAAAAAACAACGGTTAGACAATTAAACCACTTTGATCAAATTGCTTTGGGGACAATTTCAGCCCACTTGCATATACTTGTTTTCAGTCATAGTTAGTGACAATTGTGAAAATATGTGTGAAAGATATATGTTCACTCATAACAAAGAAATGAAAACGAATAAGTCAAAACATATATGTACAAATAAAGTATGCCTGTAGAAGTGTAAAATCAATTGGGATCGGTTGAAGAAAAGACAAAACTACACATACCACAATGTTGGGTTGGAAGCCATATGAAGCTGAGTACGATGTAGATGAAGACGAGTAAGAAAAAGATGATGATGATGGTACTGACGAATAGGGTGTTTGCACCCTTGGATCTTCCTGCATGTTGACCAGGAATTAACAAAACCCCCCAATATTGAATTCTAAATCCAAGCCAAAAATATTGATAGTTTTTGAGAGAGAAGAAAAGGGTCTTACATTGTTAAAGTTAGATGGGTAAGGAGCGTGCAGAGGAGGATGATAGGCACCACAGGCCATTTGACCATGTAATCTGATTTTCTCCAATTGAGCAACTCCTAATCCTCTTTGTGGTTGCTTTGGCTTGTCTTGATTGTTCTTCTTCCCTTTTCTTGAAGAAGAAGAAGAACCACCACTTACTCTTTCATTTCCCATGTTTGGCTCTCCAAAATAACTGCCATCCATGGCTCTTCTGCTCTCTTTTTTTGTGCTGTCTCCGACGAAGAGAGAGAGAGAGAGAGATTGGTATAGCTTGTGGCCTTTTGGCAAATCCCGGAAGAACTGCCTCCACTTAATTTCTGGCTGGGAAATCAGAGATCTCCTATGCTCTCTTTTGAGCTTCTGGCAAACCCAGGAATAATTGCATCGCTGGATCAGATTGTGTATAGATTTCAATGTTAAGTTATATATATACGCCTAGATTCTATGCTCCTTATCTCTCCTTCTCTACCCTTTAACTTCATTTTTTTTTAACACAATAATGATTACATTTTTTATTATTTTTTTGCCCATTTGTTATAAGGACTTTGGAGACTATCTCTGAAAGCGATTGTCTCTCATAAAAAATGCTAAATAAGTTGTATTGGAAGACTCTATGTGGCCACGCGCCACAAGGTTGGCTGCAAATTATGTATGCAAATTTTTTATTCACATCCTTGTTTATTGTTCATATACTAATATAGCTCTCATTGAATATTTGCACATATTTTATTCTAGATGTTTGCTCAAACTTTCTTTCCATTAAAAAATTGATTAGTGTGTGCTACGCTATATATGCCGAGGATGATGATGAGGTTGGCACTTCTCAGTTTCTCAGCAATCAGCATATATAGCCTCCTTCTAAAGTGGCATGTAGGTCATTAATTTATTGTCTTTGATTCTTCTCTACTTGATGGGCATTTTTAGGGTACTTTTATATAAGATTATTTTGATTACACTGATCAAAGTAGATTACAAAGCTTTGTGTACCAAGAAAAAATAAATATAAAAAGATAACAAAGCCTTAAGTAGGTTCCACTCTGCATGTGGTTTCCTAGTTCTCGGTCAATTTGTCTCAGCTGATAGTACCCTAAAGGGCCTGCCCTCGAAAGCACCAGCTGTAAAATTCCATACAAGTAACTTATTATGAAGGGAAAGTAATAAATGAACATTTTAGAACCTTGAAAACAATATCTTGATTTGAGACCAGATAATATGTATCCATTTCTGCAGTATTGAAAAAGCAGTTAACTTGTTCTGGTGATGCACTACTTAATAATCAGAATCCAGAAATTTATTTTATCTTGATCTAAATCTAAAAGTAATATATAAAAGAAGGGAGACATAAAGATTGAGATAGTTCAAACAATGTCGACCTTATAAAAATAATCAGAATACAAGATGAGATACCAAATATATATGATTATAATAATAATAATGAGATACCAAATGATCTAACTGAACTGTTTCACGCATGGTTTGTGGGTCATATTTTATGAGTTGTTTGTGTGGTGGAAAGTTAGAATATCCTCCAAATTGTTAGCCAGACATGTGAACCCATGCAAATTACAAGAAACCCCACTCACCCCACCAAAAGTATGTTATTTGTTGCTTAAGCAGATGACAGATTTATGAACATCTGCATAGAGTTATGGTTAAAGAGAAAATAGGATTTTGTTGCTTTACGTTATTTGGGAATCTGCTTCCTTCCCTTTCTTTTTCTCTTTACTTTCTTCTTTACCTTTTCATTCTTCCTCTCTTCTTCTTCTTCTTCTTCTTCTAATCTTCTTGAGAGCTGATGGAATTGCTGACCTAAAAGCCACTCATTCTTTATTTATTTTCGTTTTATCCTCCACTTTGAACTAATTGGTGGATGTAACTTCAAATTGTCGACAATATCTTTCACCTATATACCTTTCTATTTAGAAACAACTCCTTTTAATATTCAATTTCTCTTCACAATCATCTTCAAACTATCTTTTAATGTTCTTTATCCACAAATGTTTTAAGTTAGTTTTTGTTAGTACAAAAATTTAACTCACCACTTTTTACTCTCTTCCTTCCTTTCATATTTGAAGTTATAGTAATAATCATTTGATATTTTTATATTAATAATAATTAAAATGAGTTGAAATTTTGTAAGTGTATAAGATGAATTTAGTTGAAGTAATGAATGTTTATAGATGTATTTTTTGGTTAAAGTTCAAAATATCTTGTACGTCTTTTTTTTTTAAATTTAAATATCTTGTAAAAATAAGGGTGAAGATAGTGAAAAAAAAAACCCAAGTAATTTAGTATTTTAAAATTAATCATAGCAAGTCATTTAATTTAATTCTACAAAATTGATTCAATGATTATAATTTTTTTTCAATAAAAAATATAAAAGTTAAAGGTAAATGAATTATGAGAAAGCTTCATTGTTAAAACCAATTTCAAAGCAATATATAGCAATTATACTATAATGTATAGACACACTTTCAAATTTAAAAATGAAATTACTTACTTGTGAAATATTTTAATATAAAAGAAAAAAAATAGGTTAGATTAAAATTAAGTTCCAAATTAAAAATATGTCAAAAAATAAAACAACTATTACAGGTAAGAAAAATAAATATAAATTAATATATATATATATAACTTAAAAACAATAAAAATAATTAGAAATGAGAGTTATTAATGATAAGAAATATATATATATATATATATATATATATATATATACATATATATATATAATCAATTCAAATTCATAAATAACATATCTCTTAAACAATAGTGGTAATCTTTAGAACTTATCATCTCAAATAAAAAATTACTCAAATTTATCTCTATGAATATAACTATAGTGATGAAAAGTATTTTTTTTTTAATAATTTAACATAACATTTAAAAATGAAGAATGAAAAAGATCGTTTCGCCTTAAATTTTGTGGTTAAAAAATCAGTGTAAACAACAAAAGTCATTAAGTAACACTGATCAAACCCTATTGGATACTATGTATTGAATTGCGTAAACAATTTGAGGAAAGAAAAATTATCTTTGGCTTTCAATACAAAATTAAAAAACCGGCCAAAGTCAACAAAGGCAAGTTTTTTATTTCCTGTTTAGTCAAAGATTACCAGCTACAGTTTAGGTTCCTTAATTGCATCAATAATAAATGTTTTGTCACGTTTTAAAAATAAAAATAGACCGTTACAATAATAATTTTGAATAAATATAACATGTTTAAACAGAATGGGCTAATTTATACATTATTAGAATAACCAAAATTACTTGAAAGTCAATTACCTAAAAAACCAAAATTGCTATAAAAAAATTATTATTTATTAAATAATTTTAAAGGTTAAGCAATGGGAATCTCTTCATTGATATATATAGCATTTGCGTAAAAAAATAAAATTAAGATAATGCACACTAATGTTTAATGTTCTATTAATTAGTATACATGATGATTTATACTTATAATAAAACCATGTTAGAATTTGTGTTATATTGTTAAACTTTTGCATATGGGAAAATAATATTTTAGCGACCAATTTTCAGTTTCTAAAAATGGTAAATACACCTAGCATTAATTTCTCCATAAAATATGGCATGGATCTTTAAATTGGATGAGAATGGGAAGATAAGAGAATATAAGGACGTCATAATTGCATGTAGGTCCTTTTTAAAATGAATATTACAGTTGAGAAAGAAAGGACATGGTTTTACGAAGAAGTTTGGATGTATGAGTAATTGTTGAAGAATAAAAAGTGTTGAATGGTTTAGTCAAAGGTGAAAATAGTTTGAAGTTGGATTATTATTGTGTTGCGCGTGATGATGCCAAGCATTAAGATATCAACGCAGAGTCTGGAGAGGTATGATTTGTTAACAGAAAACGTATTCAATCAAATCATGAAACAGGTGCTTCAATTTTATAATTCTCCCCTCTTCCTTCCCCCTACACTCATCATCTTCACCTCTCAATAGAATAATATTATCTTTTTTTTAATGATTATTAATTTAATAAGCAATAAATTAGCTGCGTAAACACTTAATCTTGCGTCTCTTTCACTTGTTTAAATTTCATTATTTTGATTACCAATTATCAAACAACTATTATAATCAAGACTATTCCATGTTATATATGTTATAATAATATTATTAAAATTAATTTTTACATTTAAAGGATTATTCGTTTAGTCCGTAACAATTTTATTTTAAAAAGGAAAATATATATATAAATAATTTTTCATTTTAATTTTTAAGTCATTTGAAATTGATAAATATATTAACACATTTTTAAAATATATTAGTCAAGAAATCAAAACTTATAAAAAAAATTATTAGAAACTATTAAAAATAAATAAAAATATTAAAATGTTTGATAATTAATATGTATATTTATTTTTTATATTAATATATTTTTGCCTCACTTGAGAATCAAATTTTTTTTATAGATATATTGACAACATTTAAATTCAAGAATCAAAGATAATAAAAATACACCATATTCTTTTAATAAAAATATTTGAAAAGATTTCTAGATTGAACTATAAATTATTTTCTGATAAATTATAGACCTTATAAAACAGTTCTAAAAGATAATAAAAAATTTATGTACATGATTTTTTGTTTGTTTTTACAAATAAGAATTTATTATCACAATATAAATTATTATATTTAGATATTATATATTTCAAAATTTTGAATTATTATGATATTATTCTTAAAAATAATTAAAGAGAAAAAAATGATAAATTGTCTTTAATATGAATTTTTATAGTTAAATAGTATTTATTATGGAACTTGCCTGTAGGTGAAGACGTTGAATGCATTGTTTTATATATAAACATTAGAAGGTTTCTTTTCATACGTATTTGAAGAAACATATTCTTTCGCAATTAGCGAGGAATCACACGTGTAAAACGTGGGAGAGGAGGGGGAACAGGGAAAATCAATAGCTTCTACTTTTTTATGGCCATATTCCTCAACACATTTTTTTAGTTTTAATATTCACTTGAGTTGGAGCTTTTAAAGTTTAAAACTTTTTGCTTTTGTTTAATCTCACTTTATTAACTATATTTATCAACAATTTGAGTTAGATTTATATAATAAGATTTTTTCTTTTATTTTTTTTTCAACTTATGATTTGTCAATTTGTTACTAAATAGAATAAAACTACCATTTTTCAATTTACTATTATTTAAGGGGTTAATTGATTTTTTACTAATTTTAAAAAAATATTAATTATTTTAAATTTACTGTATGGATTTTATAATTTATAAATAATAGGAAAATATAAGTTTTTTATGTATATTAAATAATAATAGACATAGTAATTTTTTTATGGCAATTATTAATAGAATCGTATTGAAAATTTCATAAAATTTTCATCAAAAATCTTTTTCATACCGGTTTTGTTAAAATTAATTAAAATGTAAGGAAGAAAATGATGAAGAAGTGTTAAACTGTGAAAATTTTCTGTATATAGGAAGTTATTGGAACTTATAAATAAAACTAGCTCCATCCATAAACTATGGTGAAGATTATTCACCAATTGGAGTAGAAAGAAGCGAGATTGCGAGATGTTGCGCGACATGAACACAATGTTGCACGGAAGAAGGTAAAGTTGTGGTAGAAGAAGAGATGAAGAAGGAGAAATTAGTGCTAATGGAGATATGTCACTAAGAAAACATGGATGAAAACAAACAAGAATGAAACTGTGTGAGAGGAAAACAAGAGAAAAGGAGAAGAAGAAATGTAGGTTTCTCAGTGCTAGGAGAAAGACAAAAAACACAATTTCACTAGTATTTCTTTTATTTTACTAGTTAGTGAAAGATAGATGAAGTTGACTATGCATTTTGTTAGTTCTAAACAACTTAAAAAAGGAAAAAGAAAACACCATGATGAGCAACATCTTATATGATAATGATCATAGGAGGAAAGTGGAGATGAAAACATGGGATTATGTTGATGGGGTTTGATTGTGGTTGTTAGGAACAGGGCAAAGAGGAGGAATGTGTGGTCATCTGTATGCGTGTGTTGTATCGTAAGAAATAAGAAAAGAAAGACAAAAGGAAGTGGAAAGAGATGTAGGGAATATATGGTATCTACTGTAGATTTATGGCCACATGCAAACCCTTACATGTTGCATTCATTACTCAATAGGATTCCAAACCCAATCAAAATCGTCTCTTCCAAAATCCTCTTTTTAAATATCACAACCCAACCACAAGTTTCAAATCCACACAATCTCTTATTATGTCAGATTCTCATTTCTCTTTTCAGATGCACCAGTTTTACACAAACACACACACGGGGACTTGTGCCTGTGCTCTCATCATCTTCAATGCAAAGAGTTTAACAATTTAGTCAATGTTACCTTCTTTGATATGCCATATTTTCAGAAACAGTGGCATGGATAAAACTAGTGTCTGTCACATTTGTTACATTTTATTTCATTTTCCTTTCAAACCCGAATGAACAATATTATTATATTAGTCATGTGATGGTTGGATTTCACCATCATTCTTGGTTTCCATGAAGATGGTTTAATCACGAAGCCAATGATTTCTCCATAAAAAGTAGCTAGAAACTAGGAATCTGTCAACTTCTAAGATTTCTCATTTTGTTTTTAATAAAAGAATATATTATCCACAAAATCTCCATGTGTAAGAAAATGCATGCTCTAGTTGTCTGAATCTAACTGAACCATACATTTTTGCTGTCACAAGGTCATATTATACATTTTTCCCTTCAACTTTAATTTGGATGTGCAATTAATAAAAACTTATAACAAGAAGAAAAATGTTTTACAAGTGTATATAAAAACAAAAGATTAAGGGTGTCAGTGCCCTACCCCTGCCTCATAATTAAAATGCATGATTGATACAAAAACTTGTGGATATACCTTATAATTTGTGGATATCTTTGCTGAAGATGCTTAGGAAATATTTTTGTTCATGTAATCCATATTTTGCTTTGCTTGAAGATTTTGTGAGAATAAAATAACACTATAAGAAGTCTCTATGAACAGTATGCAGAAAAATAATATAGTTGGAACAACTGTACTGGGACCTTGGAAACTTCAAGGAATGGTCCTGACCCACATGTGGAGGGAAACAAGGCAAAATTCAACACTTGGCTTGGCTTTGGATATGAATCCTTCATTATAAAATGCTGATAAAGTCTCACTTATTACTTGGAAATGTGGCACCATTAATGTGATTGGTCCTCCTTGTCTCACAAAACCAACATCCCCTAGTGCTCTTATAATCTATCTTGGATATCATTTTCTGATTTTTTGATCATCAAAATTTGAAGTTTGATTAATTAATCTTCGATCTCCAATTTCATTTGTTGTGTGTGTGCTGTATTGATTAGGAGTGTGCAGCGTCTGTTTGCATTATTTTATGCCTCAATCATAGGTTAAGAGGTCCTTTATTAGGGTTTATATATTTCCATTTATCCAGCTTTATTGATGAGGAAGCACAGAACATCATTTTATTAATTTTCTTAATTAATTTAATTTTGACATGATATCTGATGGAAGGATTCAATGGCCCAAGTACAGTGGTTAACACCATAATACTTATTTTATTCATAATCGTACGAAAAGTTCTCATATTATTTTATATTTTTCTGTTACCTTATTTATTTGTCTGTCACAGACATCATCATTTAGTATAATCAACCGTTTCTTAATTGTATCTATTGCCACGAATTTTGACAACACTTAAAATCTTCAAATTCTGAATTTTAAATCATAAATTGTTCGTAGCTCTCTTTTCTACAGATTAAATCCACATTTTAACAATCACTTACTATTGAGATCAAGTTCACGTATTTTTTTTTTTTTAAATCAAATATAAAAAAATGGCACTTGTTCTAGTTGAACTTGATATGCTTAACACATAATTCAGAGATAGGGAATACAAATTATTATTACATTTAGCATTCAGTTTTGTAGGAGTTCTTTGATTATTCCTTTCATCATCTCTGTACGTATATGTATAGATACATAATACACCCTAATTTCGATATTTTGTTTATATGAAAAGTGTGAATTGATTAGTTGTGGCTAGTATTGACTCATTGAGCAGCCACATTTGGTCATGCATGACATGACAGATACTCTGTCCTTTTCACGTGTCATGGAGATTTTCTTCTCTCAGATTAATTTGGTTGTTTTTGAATGAAGAATCATCTTCTCATAAACTTTATTTTAAACAACAATTTGGCACTTACACTTAATTTATAAACGCAATCTCAACCATACCCATGATGTCATTTCCCTCAATCTTCAAATTATTATTCTGAGTTCCACACATGGTTGGGTTAATAGTTTAATTATTAGGCATGCTGGTTCAATTATTATATGCCCCAGTCTGATTCATGGAAAAAGAGAAAAACATACATTCTATAGATTACAAAAAAAAAAAAAGTTCTTTGTTAAATTTATTTCATTATTAACAAATTTTTCCTTGATGCTAATTAAATTTAATTACCTTTCATTACCTTGGTGCCTTATAGGTATATAAAACTATCTCAAAGATTCTTATGAGACTTATAAAGAGTTAGGAAAGCTAATAATTTATTCTCAAACTGTGTTTCTGCCCAATTAACACATACTTTATGATGTGTTAGCCTTAATGAAATGGTTTATATAAATTGAGGAATATATTTAATTTTGAATATGGATTTTGAAAAGGGGTATGATTGTGTTGATTATTTTTTGGATTATATTATGGGAAGAATGAGATTCTATGACAAATGAAGGAGGTGGGTTAAAGTGCTTTAAGTAAAGAGATCCCTTTTGTTCCTTTCCTTATTCATGAATTGGGAAGAAACATTGGATATGTTTTCAACAATTAACATGTTTGATGACACAGTGTTGACTCGACACACTATTTTCGGAGAACTAAGGTTGTTCTAGGAAAGAAACTTTGTGTTTTTAGAATAATTTTCTTCAAGCAACCTCAAACTTTTTGCATTGCAATTGTGGAAATTTATCCCTTTTAAGTTCCTTGTTTTGTCCATAGGATAAAATCCATGTAAATTTTACTCCTATTCACATAGATTAAGGTTGGCACAATGGAGCAAGAATTGTCTTCATAAACTAGGAATCATCATGTTTGTCTTTATGGTTCTCTTTTTCTTCTTTCAAAAGTATCAAAGAAAGTTTTGAATATTCTTATTGGTTTTCAAGGAGCCTTGTTGTCCGATGATGATTGATTAGAAAACAACGTGGGTTAGTTGGGACAATGTTTGTCTATCAAAACATAAATTTAAGGTGGATTAAGATATCAATTCAAAGATATCTAAGAGTGGTTAAAAGAAGAGCATTAGAAATTCTCTACCTTATCATGCTACACATGCATGAAAGTAACAATTGGAGCTTTTATGGAAGAACATTTGCTCCATTGATGAAGCTAGTTAGTTTCTCATGACTATGAGATAAAATTATTTGGATTTTAATTTTTAATTATTTTGTTTTTAATTATCTTCTTATAAAGGATTACTTTATATTACAATCCTGATTATTTAAAATAATTATAAACTTAATCATGTACACATAAAAATCTTTGTCCAAACTACATTGGGTAGTAGGTACTAAGATAAGTCTAGTTGAGTGAAAACTAAAGAATAAATTCACAAGTAATTTATAATATTGACAATTGCTTTTCGACATTCATTTGTGTTGAATTTTTCGAGAAAGATTTATTAAAGATAATTTATTGAAAAAAATAACACGAGATATGAATTAAGTTTACATAAGATATCAATGTCATTCTTAAAAAGAAAAATTTAAAATATTTGGTTTTAAAATATTTGGTTATGAGTTTTTCTTTCTTACATGTTATTCAGTTCTCTCTTTCTTATTCAATTTAAAAATTAAACTCTTACTTAAATTTCTCAACAACTATAAGTGATAGTTCTTTCATGATAATATATCTTCTTGAACACGCTAATTGCCACGTAATTAACCTTGACTCCTTATCTCACGTTTTCAATATGTCTGCACTTGTATTTGTATATGGACTGATATTTCATTAAAAAAAAAAGAAAGTTGTAAACCTAATAATTGAATTAATGATCTGCTAATTAACTAAATAATTTTATAATAAGATACATTTACGTAATGATTAAACACTCTACTTCTTTATACTATGAAGATAATTCATATAGTGAAAGATTTTTATTATTTATGAAAATTTGTTACTAATTACTGTGTCATTACTAGGTATAAGATAAGATTTTTTTAATATATTAATATTTGGATAGGAGGAAACTATTCAATAGATAAAAAATAATTTTATTGTTTTTCATAAATAGTTCTCCTTTTAAGAAAGTTTGTCATATTCTTTGTTTTTTACTGTTGTAGATGTAGGGTTCACATCATGACTAATCATGTATTATTATTATTATTATTTATTTTTCTATTAATATAATATTCTTTTCACATATGACAAATTAAAATATTGTATCTATTACGTGTAGGTTTAACACTGTAACTTATTTTGTACACGTGTTGATTGATATTCTTCCTATTTTTTATATTATTATGTTTTTTGAGAAATAAATAATTGATTGATATTTATTTATTTATATTAATAAGTAAATATTGGTAAATGTATTTCTTAAATGTAATATTGAATTTGAATGAAATGTGTATTTTTTTAATTGACATGTATTACTTTTTAATATTTTTTTTCCATTCTCTAATTAATAAAATATAATAAAGAACAATACTAACCCTATTGCAGAAACAAGGTGATCTTAAGAGAATGTTGAATTAAGAATTAAATATAGCACTAAATGATTCATGAGAGAAAAACGACATCACATATTAATATTTATAACTTGATGATGTCATAGTTAAATTAATATTGATGTTTATGTTTTAGTTTAATATTTATTAAAGAAAGATAAATACGAAAGTTGAACATTAATTATGATATAAATAAATAATAAACTAATTTATTCAATTAAACAAATAAGATTGATAATAATATATTAATACTTCATTGTATATAAATTAATGACTCGAAATTTATCAATCTCACATTCGTTATACATCATTATTAATTTCCTAATAAAAAATTATAATTTCGTTCTATTCTTTATACATGATTTCTCTTTGCATTATATTTTTCTAATCTCACATTATACATGATTTTGACAGTGATTATGCAATCTTACTCAAACGTAGAATTCCTAAAAATTTCACAAAATGAAACATAAATAAAAATATTAACAACACACTCAAATGCACTCTTATTGATTGAAACTACTTTGAAAATTGTAAAAAGTTATAGATTTTATATTTTATTTACCTAATTTATCTTATAATTTGTATTTTTTACTATGTAGAAATAATTCTCCTACAATTTAAATGTGCGAATACCTTTTTTTTGTTTTTGAGAAAATAGGAAATATAATTTTTCTCAACTACTAAGTCGTTAAGCCCAGTTATAGGCCCAATTTGAAGCCCAATTACACGGTTAAGTGATCAGCGTGGCTCATTCTGCTGAAGCCGAAGCCGAAGCCGATAAGTTTCAGTGTGCATTTTTGTAAAAGACAGAAACAACAACGTTGGCTCAAGATAAGGATTTAAAGCCTCGCCGTTCATTTCCCTCCTTCCACTTCCTTCCTCTATCCATCATCATCCATACCCATTTCGTGTTTCACCACAAAGACATCATTTTTCACTTTCTTCTTTTTCTGTCCCAAAATTTCTGTGATTTTTTTGGCCTTTTGAAGCTTCCGAGGTACATATTCTCCTTCAAACTATGACGGGTAGTTGTTGTGTTCTCTGTGGCACTTATTATAGTTGCGGGAATTTTACAGTAATATGTTAGAATTTCTTAATTGAACTTTGGACTCACTTATAACTGTTGCAAAATATACGCGTAACATTCTTATTGCACTCTGTACTTGAAATTGAACAAGAATATACTCCCATGCAGGTTACTTCACTGAGTTAAATTTGTTAATTTTGCAAAAGGATTCGTGGGTTTTATGGCCTTGCCAAGTATGTGCTTGTGTAGTTTGGTATTTTCATGAAGTGAACTTAAAAGGACTTGTTATTTGGTTTATTGGTTTAATCTGGAGGTCTTTACATTTAAGACTCTTAAAAATAATCTGTGGGCTGGGGTTTTCAAATTGTATTTAGTTGTTGTAGTTTTAACAAGTAGTGAGATGTGGAATCATGTAATGTTCTAATGTTGCTGGTTACATTCATATGGTAATGCCAATTTTCATTGGCAGGTAATTTGTGTTTTGATATTTAGACATTAACATCGATAACATAGAGGAGATAACTGGACTTGTCACTGAGTCGGATTGACAAAACCAGATATTGAAATTCAACAGCTCAGTTTTTTGGATTTTGAACAAGGTGAAATAGTTAAAGTTGGAGCTTTGTAAACTTCTACACCTCATTTATGAGTAAAGCAATTGGATGAAAGTGAGCCAATCATATTGTAGGGGTATTGAATACACCATTTTAAGAGAAAGTAGGTTCTCTTTGATTGAAGAAAACAATATTCATTTCTATATTCTGGTTTTTTCATTAATATTACAAAAATGCTACTTTTTTTTTCCCATTTAGTTTCATGGTTGCAAACATGTGGGAAATGATGAGATTATTCTGTTGTTTTCACTGATTTCTGGAAATAGGAAATAAAGTTAAAACAGGACATTTTTGGTTATTATTAGTGAAAATTGGAAATGAAGACAAAATATTTTCACAAACCAAACAGAATCCTTAAAATCTGCATTTGTGAGGTTAATTACCCTATTACACAAAATGGAAATCCCGATATACCAAATCTCCTAGCATTTGTCATGTAGCCTTGATTCATTGATTGTCTTTTGTTGCAGTAAAATTCAAGTGGGTACTTATCATGGAGTTATTGTAACTGCATTTTAGTAAAGAATTTTCTCATGATTTGTAAAAGATGTGATAATGCTTGATGTTTTTGTGAACATTGATGCTAATACATCGAGCAGGTTATGTAGTGTGATTTGTGAATTGTAACATTTTGCTGATTGAAGTTATTTTTGTCCACAACTGCCATAAATTTATATCTTATATAGTGGCGGAAAAAACTTATTACCTCAGTTTTTACTGATGTTCTTATCATTCATATGTTTCATCAAGGTGACAGATGAACAGATTTTAACTATATATAACTCAAGTTTATTATTCAAGCCAACATGAATCCAGTAATACCATGCTCTATTGGCAATGTTTCAATTATTCCTGGATTCGCCTATTCAACAAGGAAGAATAACACTTTAACAAGATTCAACTTGTCACGGAGCACTGTAAAACTTGGATTATCATCTTGGAGATTGCTATTACCTTCATTTGTTGCCAGTGGAACATTTCCACCAAACAAAAGTATAGGCTCGTTTCATAAGAAGTCTAGAACCTCCATATCAGCCACAGAAACAGATGTAGCAGTAGAGGAACCAGGTCCACCTGTTGCAGATGAAGATTCTGGTGAAATTCCTTCAAATGAAATTGGAATAAGTGAAGATTCATCTCCTAAGTCTGATGCCAACCCTGATCCAGCTAAAGCCAAGCGTTCAAGACCTGCAAGGAAAAGTGAGATGCCTCCTGTAAAGAATGAGGATTTGATTCCTGGGGCAACTTTTACTGGGAAAGTGAAATCTGTCCAGCCATTTGGTGCCTTTGTTGATTTTGGTGCTTTCACAGATGGTCTTGTTCATATTTCAATGTTGAGTGATACCTATGTTAAGGAAGTTGCAAGTGTTGTTTCTGTAGGCCAAGAAGTGAAGGTGAAGCTGATTGAAGTGAATAATGAAACTCGGCGTATTTCTCTCTCTATGCGAGAAAATGCTGACACTGGTAAGCAACGAAAAGATACACCTGTCAAGACAGAGAAAGCTGAAGGTGGCAAGAGGAACACGTCAAAACCCAGTCCAAAGAAAGATAATGTGATGAAAAGCACAAAATTTGTTGTAGGACAGCAACTGTTTGGTTCAGTGAAGAATCTGGCAAGGAGTGGTGCTTTTATATCTCTTCCTGAAGGGGAGGAAGGATTTCTGCCTATATCTGAGGAACCTGATGATGGATTTGATAATGTTATGGGAAACACTAGGCTGGAGGTTGGTCAAGAAGTTGATGTATGGGTGTTGCGTATCAACAGAGGACAAGTAACATTGACTATGAAGAAGAAGGAAGATACAGCAGATTCAGACTCAACATTTAACCATGGGGTTGTCCATACTGCAACAAACCCTTTTGTGTTGGCTTTTCGTAAGAACAAGGATATTGCTTCTTTTTTGGATGAGAGGGAGAAACCTCAGAGTGAAGGTCAAAAAACATCACCTGGAACAACTTTGGAAGAAATTAAGGGAGCTGTCAAGCAAGGGGAAACTGTATTGGATGTTCCTGACGTGCAGGGTGAACCAGAGAGCAGCAAGTTGACAGATGATATTCCCTCTGCAGTCAAACAAATTGGTGAAGGCGATATTTCGGAAAACGGGGAAAATGTGGGAACCAGTGCGACGAATGGGTCCTCAACAGCTATTGTGGATGATGAAAGTAACCTAGTCAGCAATGTTTCTAACCCAACACCAGGTATAGATACTGCTGTTGAGAATGAAGAGGTAGTTTCTGGAAGTTTGACTACTGAAGAGGATCTATCTACTGTAAATCCAACAATTGAGGAAGCTACTCAGACAGAGATCACAACAAGTGATTTGAAAACTGAGTCACTTGTTGAATCAGCTATTGAGAATGTAATAGAAAGCGGAGTTGATGAAATTATCACAGAAGATGAGAAACAATCACAAACTCCTAATGTAATGGAAGAATTTGCAGCTGCAGTTCTAACTGATACTGATGCAGTTGAACCTAGCCCTGATGGAAATGGTACTATTACAGAATCAGATAATACGTTGACTGCACCAGCCCTGCAAGAAACAGCAGGTTCTGTTTTATCTATCTCCCACTCTGTCTGCTATACAAAATCTATCTATCCATTTGTCTTTCTAATTTATTTTTACATATAGAAAACAGACTGTAAGTCTAAAAGCAAACATATTTTGTGCATAAGATGCATGTACCAGAGCTTTCCAGTTAATTTATCAAATCATATTTCCTTTGCATCACAAACAGACGATGATGTTGGAGTTGTACCTGAGAAGAATGACGGTGATACTATTTTGAGTGACTTAAGTGGCAACTTGTCTCCTGAGGGAAGCTTGAACAAAGGTTATGCTTCAATTTCTTTATCATTCCTATTTGCCTGGTTCGATTTGGCTAATGATTGAGAATTGGTAGCAAGTTCCCAAAATTGATGTTCATATATTGCATGGTATTGGATCCATTTCATTTCCACTGTAATCCCAATCAATTAGTTTTTTGTAACTCAAACCAATGGCGTCATTATAACTTCCTTATCTTGCAAGCAGATTTTTTTTTTTTTTTTCCTTTTCTTTCTATTGTTAAGAAAGGAGTTCTTGAACTGTTAATCCTCTGTCAACAGATGAAACAGAAGAAAATGATCAAGTTCCTTCTCCAGAAATTTCTGCCACTGAAGTAGTAAAGACCTCCATTGATAACCCTGAAGAAGAATTGCAAAAACAACCTCCTGCCACAGAGAATGAAAGTTCTTTTACCTCACAAGTTGAAGAGAAAGAGGTTGCAATTGCATCGGAGAAAAATATCAGTAAATCTAATTCTGATGGACAAACCAGTGCTACTTCAGGAGAAGGCTCAATTAAAGGTTTAAATTTCATCTGATTTTTATCCTATTTCATTTCACATATTTTGCATCAAACTGAAGTATGTTAGCATGACCTCAATTTATAAATGTATTTTGGTTTTTATATTAAAATGTCTGGGTGAAGTGCAGCACATGATACAGGGTGCATGGTTGATGAACATATGTAGTTTAACGGCACATGAAAGAATCTCGATAGTTCTCATTTTCAATTTTTTGTAATATTTATATATATATATATATATATATATATATATATATATATATATATATATATATATATAACAAATTTGCTATATTGGCACTAGATCCAACTGAGAGTTGGACTAACCAATGCAGGGGTGAAATTTCAAGTGGATCAATTGCATTGCCTTTGGGGGATTAAATTAGGACAGTTGTTACAAAACAATACTTACGTTGATATTTCTTAGTTTTCCACTTATTGGCTTTTCTTTGCATTCTTACATAGGATATCTAATATTAATATCTTCCAAACCACCCCCCACCCCCCCCCCCCCTCCCTCGATTTTTCTGAATTGCAGCAACTATATCGCCAGCACTTGTGAAGCAACTTCGGGAAGAAACAGGAGCTGGAATGATGGAGTGCAAGAAAGCTCTATCAGAAACTGGTGGGGACATTATTAAAGCACAAGAGTACCTTAGGAAAAAAGGCTTATCAAGTGCAGAAAAGAAAGCAAGCAGGGTAACTGCGGAAGGAAGGATAGGTTCGTACATCCATGACAACAGGATAGGTGTTTTGGTAGAAGTAAATTGTGAGACAGATTTTGTCTCACGAGGTGAAATTTTTAAAGAGCTTGTCGATGATATAGCCATGCAAGTGGCTGCATGCCCTCAAGTAGAGTATCTTGTCACTGAAGATGTTCCTGAGGAAATCGTGAACAAAGAAAAAGAGATAGAAATGCAGAAAGAAGATCTTTTGTCAAAACCAGAGCAAATAAGATCAAAGATTGTTGAAGGGCGGATAAATAAAAGACTAGAGGAGCTAGCATTGCTTGAGCAGCCCTACATTAAGAATGATAAAGTAGCAGTTAAGGACTTGGTCAAGCAAACTATTGCTACTATTGGCGAAAATATTAAAGTTAAAAGGTTTGTGCGATTCAACCTTGGGGAGGGTTTAGAGAAGAAAAGTCAGGATTTTGCAGCTGAAGTAGCTGCACAAACTTCGGCAAAACCAGCATCTACACCAGCAAATGAGCAACCTGCTGTTGCAGAGGCCAAGGAGAATGAGCCAAAGTAAGCAGTTCTATGAATTTTTTTTTATTATTGAGTAATTAAGTTGTGAAATTTAGGTGATTAGTTAGTGGAATGTGCATTATTAAGATTCAGAAACAGGAACTATAATTGGCATAATCATGCCAAAGGAGACAGTGTTGGTGATGGCATTAAATTATGCATGAATCGACTCAGTTATATGTACAAAGGTGGAAGCAATGGGTAGCATTTTCCCATTTTAAGTCTTTTTACAAATAATTCAAACAACTTACTCATTTCGAATTGTTAGTAGTGTAAGACTACATATTGTCTATATTTTGATTTTACATTTTTTAGTACGTATGTACCCCTAGCCTACCCACACTCAACACAAATATTGTCTTTGGTTTGTTCTTGAAATAGGTGAAAGTAACCTAATGTGTTGCGTTACGTCTTTTGCTAATCTTAAATTGTTCAACATTCTGCTGCAGGCCATCAACGGTAGTAGTCTCAGCCTCATTAGTTAAACAATTGAGGGAAGAAACTGGAGCAGGGATGATGGACTGTAAGAAAGCTCTAGCTGAAACAGGAGGGGATCTTGAAAAGGCCCAAGAATACCTCAGGAAAAAGGGTCTCTCCACTGCTGACAAGAAATCGAGCAGGCTAGCAGCAGAAGGCAGAATTGGTTCATACATACATGATTCTCGCATTGGCGTTCTAATTGAAGTGAACTGTGAAACTGACTTTGTTGGGAGAGGCGAGAAATTCAAGGAGTTGGTCGATGATCTTGCAATGCAAGTGGTGGCCAGCCCACAGGTGCAGTTTGTATCCATTGAAGATATTCCAGAGACTATTGTGAACAAAGAAAAGGAACTTGAAATGCAGAGAGAGGACCTTCTCTCAAAACCAGAGAACATTAGAGAAAAAATTGTTGAGGGAAGGGTCTCAAAGAGGCTCGGGGAGCTTGCTCTTCTAGAGCAGCCTTTTATCAAGGATGACAGTGTTTTAGTGAAAGACTTGGTGAAGCAAACTGTGGCTGCACTCGGAGAAAACATCAAAGTGCGTCGATTTGTTAGGTTCACGCTTGGAGAAACAGCTGAAAAAGAAACAGCAGTAGCAGCATAACTTTAGCAGAAGTGCCATCAAGCATGTATGGTCCTGGGGAATCCATATGCATATTATAGAAGCATATATGGAAGAGTATGGGAGCAGGACCAATTTGGAAACAAATTTATACTTCATCATAATAACCAAATGTGCAATCGGCAGGGACTTATTTTCCTAATCTGTATCTACATTGAGGGTACACGAGGACTAAATTTTGTGTTGATTCTCTACAGTTTGTATGCTGAAAAACATTAGCGGATGCATTTTTCAGTTACAAGTTTTATAAGTTTTGAATTACTGAATTCATCAATTCTTGACTCGTTACTTCTCACGTAAACGATGGATTGAAAACTGCATGTTATAGTTGATTTAATCGATGCATAACCAAGTTGGCTTCCAATGTCCCCAAGAACTTTTGCCATATCTTCAACAACAAAACGCATTTGTTGCTCTCAGAAGTCAAATAATTCTCAGGCCATGTTCAGATTGAAATTCCATCTTTGTGCAATGGCCCTCTAATCATCTTAAATTCGTCTCATTACTAATAAGATTTGATACAATGCTCTTAAACTGCATGCTTAATTTCAGCTACACCATAAAATCTAGTGCATTTTAGCACCCTTCCTTGTCAGATAAATAATTTACACGTTTCATTATGAATTACCCTCTCCACTTTATATTGATTGACTGAAGATTTTTCCAGATTAAAAGCATTTACTCCAAAACAATAATACTTATATGCTAAATCGATAATCAAAAGAGGGACCATAATATTATCAAAAAGGTTCACATGGTCAAGAAATTCCCATGCTCCATATTTGGAGCAAAGTAAATTTCTTTAAAACCTTATGATAGCAAGTTCTTATGCAACTTTGTGCAATGGATTAACGTCACCAAGTTTCTAATCAGATATAACCAACTTCGTTGCCCTGTAAGTATAAGCAGAAAGATCACTGTAACTTGATCAACTATTGTTGAATGTATAGATAGATACACACAACTAAAGAAGTGTCAACCAAATTAACGTGCAAGAGCCTGTTTACATAGGATAAGGTTTCTTTTTATAAGTACCCAAAATTTTCCTTTTAAGTGCAATCTTATCATCTATCGCAGTACATACAATCCTTGTCTGCATCAAGTACTACTGCTTGGATGACTTGCTGGAACAAAACGCCAGAGGTCCACAGCAATATCTACTTCCTTCTTCTTATGAAATTTGTACATTTTTGGTACATCAAACCGAAGCTGCCAAAGCAAGAAAAATATAGCTGTTAAAATAACTTGTCATCAATTCAGTAATCTTATCCATTGTTCCTTACAAGGAAATCAATAGGAAGCAGATTATACATTTTTCATGCAAAAAAAGGAAAAAAAAAAAAAAGAAGATTTATAGAAAACAAATAAACTTTTATTGCATGACTAGAAAACATCAGATTTGAAGTAAACTTCACTCACCTCACATATAACTTCTGCACTGCTAGCATTGAAATCCCGTAATGCTGTTCGTTTCACATGCTGCAATCAGATAAAATTGAATCACGGTATTGTCACCAATGGGAAGAAAATCCTATCACATTGTTGAGAAGCTACACAGAATTATAGATTACATGTGAATTCCAGCTTATGCATTAAGCATAAAAGAACAAAGCAATCAGTGAGAAAGGCATAGGTGGTGATCGTATTCTGTAGATGAATTAAGCTTCTAATAATACAGCAAATGCATTGATAAGAATAAACAAGAAAATCTAAGTGGAAAGATTCAAATAAACAACACCAATAGCATCCTTGTAGAATGGGATGGTTAGCAACTAACGGCTTGATATACCTTCTCGTGGGAAAAAAATAAACTAATATATGGCACAAGAGATAATTAGTTTAAAAAAATTGATCATGCCTGCAGATCTCAACTATTAAATCTAATAATTAGAATATAAGATAATAACGACTTACATCTCTTGTTGAAGTCTTATGCAAGGAATAAACAGCTTCAGAAGCAACCTGACAAAGCAATATATGGTTACATAGGTAATATTAGAATAGAATCCCATCAGTCTTATATTTATAACCAAGCTTTGATGTTATTGCTTGCTTACCTTCAAAGCAACAGAGAGAAAATCCAAATCTGCACCTTTTTTACGAGTACCAAATGGAGGATTCATTATAACTGTATCAACAATTGGACCTAGAGAATACCAAGATAACCATGATTTTGTTGGAGGAAAAATTTCAGTAACATATTAAATCTAGATTTAAAATCAGCTTTCCCCATAAAACAATGACTAGTTCACTTGATCATTTTGTTTAACAACTCCTAGAACAAGTCATTGATACTTGGAATATTTGTAAATAACATACAATGTCCATGAGTCATATAAATGAGGCATAAAGAATATTCCTGTTACTATAGGAATTAAGGACTGAATTCAGAAACATAGTTTAATCTATTAAAATCTCAATTATAGTTTCTAGAGCCATAATTATGAGCAACTGGGAGAGCAAAAAAATTGGGGGGAAACGCAGGGAGATCAGTAAATTCCACCATGGAACAAGGTTTCATAAAGTCTGGTGTTGCTCCAAAATCCCAATAATAATTAGCAACTTCAATGATAAAAGTTATGCTTCATGTACCCATTAGCAATGCTTATGCTTCAGACGCAAACTTATACGATGTTATGGTATTATAAGAGAGAGACGATGTGGAAAGCTACCTCTCCATCCCAAGTCCAAGACATTAGACTGAATGAAATCCATGTCCAGCTGCAGTTTTAATTGAATAACAAAGGAATTTTGTGCATCAGTTTTCAGTATTCAACTTTAACATAATTATTGCATCTAAAGCACATTAATAATGATGACCACTTTCATCTCCTGTTATTCCATTTCTATGTACAATATTCAAAACAAATAGAAAATTATTATTCTTTTCCTCAAACAAGAGACTCCGCAATTGCAAATCGAAACCTATTAATCTATCTACTCATTTACCGTTACAATCAGCAGAATGACAATACCTCAAGTTCCTCTGCATTAACTGAAGCTATTTCAAGAGATTCTGGATCAATGTCGATGCTGAGAACATGTCTGATCAATGCTAAGAAAAGTCAAGAGAATATTAGATACATTAATACAAAAACGTAATTTTTGATTTAAAAGCAGACAATTCAAATTTTACAATAGTCATAATGTAATTTCAATCTCCACTCTGATTCAGGTAACAATGGAAAAGTAAGTGAATGAGAAACAAAAAGAAAGTCAAGATCCCAGAAAAAGTAGGAAGGGAAATATGCAACTCACGCTGCACTCAAAAGGGCAGCTGCAACACCTAACGTACCACAGCCGCATCCAAAGTCAGCCACTACTTTGTCGCTCACATCCCCAAAAGAATTCTCTGCCTGATTCTCATGAACAGCAAAGGAAACAGAACTTTTAACAAAGTGGAATTATTGAAACTATTTTAACAAAGGCAAAAAACTATTCCATAAATATTTTGCAAATCCACACACTTGCACACAGTTAATTTGGTTTCCTAAAATACCCTTCCCATCTTTCCCTAATCCCTACCACAGAACAGCAAGGAAATGTTTCAAAGATGGTCACCAATCAAAATTGTCACCAACAAGAATCATAACTAAATGTCCACAATCACATCATCACACAAGCAAGTGTGATCAGCACAGCTTGCATTTGCAGATACTAGGGTGTCCAAATTCCACAAACAAGCACACCCTAAAAAAATACCCATTGACAAGCGCAGCAAGATGGACATTGTATAAGGCAAAAGAATTCAACTTTAGCATATTTGATGTGTAAAGTTAGAAGGGGATTGAAATAAAAAGATGGTGAATAAAGGGAAGGAGGGAACACAGTGAAAAGCATTCGAGAAGCAATATGGGGTCCCGTTGGGTACTGTTCAAGCTCCACCTGCATGTCACAACCCACAACCACAAACAAGGAAGAAATGAGTGTTCAATGTTGATGTTACAATCATAATTCATTGAAGAAAGTGAGATGGTGGAAAGTTTGAGAGAAAGGAGAAACCTTTCTTTACCTTGGGTTGAGGGAACTGCTGAAGACCACCAAGAAGGCCTTCCAACTGCTTCAACTTCATCTTCTCCGCCGATTGATTCAAACTTCCACTTCCATTTTTTCTTCCTAAATTTTGTATCATTCTTTCCCTTCATTCTTTGCTTTCACAGTTCCACCATCTCCATTCCAAGGCCCAGCCCAATGATACTGCTGAAAATTACTTGGGCTTTTTCTCTCTCTCTCTCTCTCTCTCTCTCTCTCTCTTGTTTGTTTGCATTGAAATATACATAAAAAAAAAAAAGCTTGATTACATTTTCTATTACTCAATTATTAATAATATTATTATATAAACTTAATAGTTAAGTTTTTTTTTATATTTTTTAATCTTTAAATATTTGTTAAATGTTTAGTATGTATTGATTCATCAAGAACAAGTTGAAAACATGTTACATAATAATTAAAAATCATAAATAATTGTTGAATATAGAGAAAATAAGGTTTGGAATTAATTTCCCTTGTGTATAAATCACACATAGGGTGGTCTATTTATAGTAGAGAGATACAACTAAAAGAGTAACTGAAAGTAACAGAATAAACAGAAGATATTGTTTGATATTGTGGTTACCAATATCTAACAATATCAAATAATATCTAAACAATATCTAACACTCCCCCTCAAGCTGGAGCATACAAATCGTATATGCCAAGCTTGTTACAAATATAATAAATTCTAGGACCTCGTAAAGATTTAGTAAAAATATCTGCTAATTAATCACTTGAGTTAACAAACTCAGTCTTGATATCTCCAGACATAATCTTTTCTCGAATAAAATGACAGTCAATCTCAATGTGTTTGGTCCTCTCATGAAAGACAGGATTAGAACTAATATGAAGAGCAGCCTGATTGTCACACACAAGTGTCATTTGAGTGACATCTTCAAATTGTAACTCTCTAAGCAATTGCTTGAGCCAAACAAGTTCATAGGAAGCTGAGGCCATAGCTCTATATTCTGCTTCTGCACTGGATCTTGCCACAACACTTTGTTTCTTACTTTTCCATGAAATCAAGTTACTGTTGCAGGTAGCATCAATTGTCCTGTGACGAAGGTCAGGTGGGCCGAGTCACAATTGAATCGTGGCGCTTGGGCTGTTAAAGTAAAAAGAGTTGCGCTCTGACTAATGGCTATAGCTTTTGGCCTAGTGGTAAGCGCTCGATCCTAACAATTGGTATCAGAGCCAAGGTCACGAGTTCGATTCCTGGTGGGCAATTGTTGAGGGGGAGATTGTTGCAGGTTGCACAATTGTCCCGTGGCAGAGGCCGGGTGGGCCAAGTCACAATCCAAGAGTGGGATACCTTGTAGGACAATTGCTGAGGGGGAGATTGTTGCAGGTAGCATCAATTGTCCTGTGACGAAGGTCAGGTGGGCCGAGTCACAATTGAATCGTGGCGCTTGGGCTGTTAAAGTAAAAAGAGTTGCGCTCTGACTAATGGCTATAGCTTTTGGCCTAGTGGTAAGCGCTCGATCCTAACAAGACGACTGATGGACAACAGGTTAAAAGGAGACTCAGGGACATAAAGAACATTATCAATGGTTAAAGAAGGAAAAAGTTTAACCGTTCCAACACCATGAGATGATACTCTAGAGCCATCAGCCAGTGTAACAGAAGGTAAATGATTAGGAGAGGATAAAGAGAAGAACAAAGATTTGTTACCAGTAATATGATCAGTGGCTCCTGAATCAAAAACCCAAGGACCAGGAGTAAATGATTGGGTCAGACCAGCAAAATATGTATTTGTATGTGTGACAGATATAGTGGAACTAGAAGACTGTTGATCCTTATACCATTCGAGAAATTTGTTGAACATAGCAGACATGTCGGATGCAACAGAAGAAGGAAGATCCCCTGCAGATAAAGGTGGGGAAAGATTGGTCTGAACAACTACAGCAGACTGAGGAGGACGACCATGTAATGTATAACACTTGTTAATCTTGTGACCTAGCTTGCCACAATGTTCACACTTAGGACGCCCTTTTTCCTGTTTGCGAGGACGAGCCCGGTCATCACGATGGGATGTCAACACAAAAGAATCGTTAACAAAATTGGAAATAGTGGAAGAAGTCATGAAGAGCGGGAGAACAAACCCTAAAACAATCCAAAGTAATCCAATTAACCCATGAAGCACAAATCCAAAATGAGAATACTAAAAATAAGTTCGCCAAGACTAAACGGTGTAGGAGACAATGGGACGACCAACTCCGATAGTGGTCATCTCAATGGCACGGTGGTCACCTTACCGAGACAAGCAAAATCATATGTCACCGGTAAAAAAAAAAAAATGAAACTCCGGCGAATTCTCCGACAGCGGTGGACCCGATGACTGCTCCAGCGGCAGCGGTGACAGTAACGTGAACTAGTACACTAGGTAAGTTCCCAGGAAAGAGAGGTGAGTCACTAATGGACATACTTAAATACCAAGTCTTTCCTTGCCAGAACTTTCCTAAACATGCACTTTCACACTACCAAATAAAATTCAATGACAAAGATAATTCTTTTATGATGTGGAGGATCAGTTTACCAGTAGCGGTGGGGCGGCTCTAGCAGCGGTGGGGCAGCTCCAACAGTGGACAAAAGGCGGAAAAAAAAAATTCAAGATAACCTTAAGCTCTAGATACCATGTTGAATATAGAGAAAATAGGGTTTGGAATTAATTTCCCTTGTGTATAAATCACACATAGGGTGGTCTATTTATAAGTAGAGATACAACTAAAAGAGTAACTCGAAAGTAACAGAATAAACAGAAGATATTGTTTGATATTGTGGTTACCAATATCTAACAATATCTTAACAATATCAAATAATATCTAAACAATATCTAACAATAATAATTGAGTACTAAAATATATAATTATATCAATTGAAAAAGTTAACCCTGTTTAACATGTGTTTTCCTTTAAAAACCTGAAAATCAAACCCCTTAACACACATTTATGAGATATGTTTATTTTTCAAAGGTATCTGTGATTTTATTTGACAACTTAGAGAAAGAATTATTTTACTTTTTTACGAATTTTTTATTATTAATAATTAATCACTTTTGGTTCTAAACAATTCAAGTATTATATTATTTAAATATTTATTATTATTAAATTAATTCTTCAAGTATATATTTGCAAGAACTTAAAAAAAAAACAAAATAAATAAAATAAAATATTATTTTATAAGAAAAAAATAGTTTATAAACAAATTTAACAAATATTTTATAGTAATTTATTCAAAATAATTTTTTTACTCTCGTATATAGAAAAAAGTTCATTTTTTCTTATTTTCATTTTTAAGAAATGTTTAGAGAAAAGTGTATGCATGGTAAATTTATGTTTATGATAGTTCAGATTTAGGAGAAATACGTGTGCAAACTAATAAAATTTTAATGAGAATGTTTTATTTGCTTTTCAATTTTTTTTGGAAAGTAAGCTACAAACGAATTCATGGGAATTAAACTTAAGTTGTTGTAAGTTGAATATTAAAATCAGTAAGTGAACAAAAAATCAGTTTACAAAAATAAAAATTAAAACGATTGTTTTAAGTTTTTGATTTCGTTAATGATATCACACTCACCTGAAAATTATGAAATTGATTTTAGTTTTTGTTGACTTTTCATGAAGTCAATGTCGTCCTCTTTTATAAAATACTTTTTAAAGCACAATTATTACACAAGATTTTTATTAATTCACAAGTTTTTATTTTGTGAAAGAAAAACAAATTTACATGAATTATTGTATACTTGTTTCGTGTTCTTATGGCCCGCTGAAACGAATCTAATTAACAAGTGGAAGAATCAAGAATCAGATGACTAACACAGTTCACAAGATAAAGAAAAGTGGTTTGGAAAATATGATAGAGATTAGATGCTAAATTAGTTTATGGAAGAATAAGAGTGCCGAGATTGTAATCCTTGTATTTATAATTTTGCCATGTTAACATTCCAACCATAAAAACCAGAGAAACTCTAACTTAGTAGCTGCACATGCACTGCATTTACAAATGGTGATATTTGAAAACCCATTTCTTTAACATATTATCTAACATCACACTTTGTTTCTCTCTTTCTCTTCTCATCACATCATATATCTAGCATCTGTATTTTTCTTTCTTTCATCACTCACTACGTATATGATAGTATATTAGATGCATAAATACGAGTTTACTTCCTCATAGAGGTGATTTAATATGTATCAGCTGTAACATTTTTCTCTCTTTTTACCATTCTCTTACTAGTTATCTTGCATTCGAGTCTCCATTTTCCACCCTCAACTCAACTTATCCATTCAATTCCAATTTGTTGAGTTGTGCTGCGCGTACTGCATGTATTCATAAGAAGATGGGAAACAGTCTTATTCTGAGCAAAACTGGGAGTGATCAACTTCCTTGCCATCTTCAGCTCGGAAAATCTGTTGCCATCGATCTGTCCAAAAAGGAGAAACCAGTTCCTAACTCTGATGGTTCTTCTGTAGCTATGATGGAATTCTGGACTTTGTTATACACTGTAGATGGGTCCGCTTTTGACTTCAGGTTTACGAGACGTGTTTGCCAATCTGGAAATATTGACCAACTATGCTTAATACTCCGCGACGGAAAATGTTTAAGCTACGATTTCGTAAGATTAGTGATAGAAATAACTGAAACCGATTTTCTTCGGGTAGCGTACATGCAGTACCATTGCAAGAGCTTTGGATCCATCACATGGACGAAGACAAGGAGGATAGTTGATGCATGCGGCGGCATAACAGACACCAGAGTTTACTTTTATGGCAGTGGAAACAGGTGTGGTCTTATTGTTTCGGTGTCCGAGAAAAAATCTGCGGCACGCCTCATGACACCTGACGGGGATTTGGAAGAAGCTGATGCGGTGACTGTGGCGCACTACTTTGCTAGCAGCGGAACAGATACTGGCCTCTCTTTGGTGGCCAAGATTCGACCATGCAATGGCAATTTGGTTGCGATCACGGAGGGCCCTGAGTCACACCCTGCTTCTGCATTATTATACATGTTTGATGAAGTCATCAGAACCAGAATTTGGAAGCCTAACATGATCCCTGATTGTGCTGTTATTGCTAGTATTCCAAGGGAGCCTAGAAGAAT